AAGAGAAGCGGAGACAGAAGCTTAAGCCTCCTTAACTGCCTCCTGTTTACTCTGGTTTTGGCCAGTAGCTTCTCTCTATTTGGGCTCCCTAATCATTGATGTTGTGAGTAATCTTGGAGCTTTGTGCTTGTTTTACAAAATAGCCTGGCAAACAGGCAGAAGAAAATAGAGCAAAGTAATTTTTGTGCCATCTTTTAAAAAAAAAAAAAAAAGCTCACAAAGCTTACATGCAAAGATTCTGTTATATTTTTAAATTATTATTTACAGTAGTATTTTGGAAGAAAAAAAAAGGTGCCTAGCATAAACTGATGTAAATTTTTTGAGGCCAGGGGCATCACTTCACAACTTCTCTTGCAAACTCCCTTTAGCAAGAAATGTCACTTTTTGAGTTGGATTTGTTGAATTCAGTAATGCATTCTCACAACTTTAAAATGCACTGCTGAAGCGAGTGCATCCTTGTATTACCAATTAGGCCTACTGGGATATCTAGGAATATAATGATTCCAGCTGCAGACACAGTTTTGGTAACTATGCATGTGACAAAGAGATGCATATATTTTTATGTATAGCTGCATACACATTTTTGAAAATCTGGAAATCTAGGGGGTTTGTGAAGCATTCAGTAGAATGCATATCAAATTCAGAAAAGCGTATTGCTAAATCTCTCTAAGTTTTTTTTTTTTTTTTATTTGATAACCGTGCAACACTGGTGGCAGAGCAGGAACAGATAACACTTTTGAATGTGGGTAAAAAAATTATAACCCTGACAAAACCAGTTTAATTCAAGATTATTCTTAGATTCTTAAACCAGTGCATGAATCCAACCTCAGTACATTAATTTGTGATACTTAAAAACAGTTAATGTGTTTTGTTTTATTTGTTATTTGGTTGAGCAGATGGTAATGGTTTTGACACAATTCAGTTTTTTATTTTTCTTCTTTTCTTTTCTTGAAAAAGACAAGGCTCTTTTTCCCACTTTGTCACAGCTGGTTACCAATCAATCTCAATTCACGGTACAGTGATGATAGCACATGTTGTTTAGGGGCCAAATCTGATTGGGTTGCATTTTCAGCAGTGTTTCATATTAAAAAAAAAAAAAATTGTGTCTGTATGGCAGTGACTGTCAGCACACTATTGTACAACTGTCATTAATCAAAACTAGCAACAATGAATGCATTCATATGTGCCAGAGACTGCCAGATTTCACTCAAAATCACCCAATTTCTATCAGAATTTCCTCACCAGCAGTGTTTTCTCATCTGCTTGTTGTTTCTCTGTTTCTTTCTTCTTTTCCAGTACCCTACCCCCTGCTCCACCGCCCCTTCCATCTTGGTTAATTAAAGGCAGACTTGCTCTCACTATTACTTGTAGAACAGAAATTATGTAATGGGGTGCCCAAGAGTGGCTGGTTTTTATCTAAGCACAGGGTGACTAGCTGTTTAAAAGACCTCTCAGCTCAGTCGGATGGCTGAAGTCTAAGCTGAACCAAAAGGTTAAGCACCTCCAAATGTTTAACAAAGAGAAGTACTTAAAATCAATTAGATGGCCATAAACTTGAGAAACTGATATCTGATGCTCAATGTTTTTAGCTGAATGTTGTCATTAATTGGCTAGGAGTCAGCAATATTTGGGGAATATGTCAGAAGGTGTTTCTTGACACTGCACATACTTTAAAGGCATCGCCTTCTTAGTGCACTGGCAAAGTTAAGGACCAACCTAACTAGTACTTTCTGGTTTTCCACCATTCACCCATTAATCCAGGAGTCTGGTAACCTCTCTGTGATTGGTATTAGCAGTCAGATAGGTCCTGATCCTGATTCCCAAGTGTTCAGTAGCACTAATCCTGATGAGGGTGAACTTCTCTAGAAACTCAGCTGAAAACATCTTCCTATGGGAATATGAGGCTCTGGGATGGAGAGGAAACAAAACACTGCTCAAGGCTGTGCAGGTGGATGCTTGAGAAACTGAAAACATATTCAGGCTCCACTCCTTGTTACTTCGTGTTTCATTTCTCAGGCAAACTCCTTATGCTGCTGTGGATGGGCTTAAAGCCAGTTTTCTTCCTTTCTCCTTCCTGCCTGTTTCATTTGTCAAAGCTCTTCACTGAACCGTTGTGACTTCTGGGGACAATGTGGGTGGAACAGATGACTGAGGGGCAACATATCAATACTTAGGACAGCAGATGGTTATAGTGTCCCGTGGGTCCATCTATGTATGACTCTAATTGCTAGATGGCATGTTCTGTCATGGTGGTCCAAAAACCCAGTATGGCCTTGTTGGAGAAGCAAACTGGGAGAGCTGGACCTCTCTCTGAAGTAATTGATAACTGGGCTATGATATCAACATGTTTACGCCACCCTCCGTTTCACAACCCAAGTGGGAGATGACGGCTTCACCCTCGCTCTGCGTCCTGGCATGCCATGCAGCTGGCTCGTTCCCCCAGCAGCCTTTGCACAATTTGCATGATTGGCAGGTGCAAGCATAAAGACTGACGAAGCCTCCAAGGCAGCTGGCTGGCATGCCGGCACCAGCACATCAGTGAGATGAAGAGTGGGTCAGCTGCAGCCCACAGCAGACTGGAGGGCCCTGTCCCAGGCAGCCTGCATCCCAGTTCAAGCGACTACTCAGTCAGATACAGTCCTGCTGCCTGTCTGGTTTTATCTCAGCAGCGGTTACTGAACCACCGGAATATTATTTGTCCTAAAAAATGAAGGAAAAAAGCAGTGAAATAAATGGCTAATTGTTGCCCACCTTTATAACTGTGATTCCTATATCCAACTCATATTTACATTACAACTGATCTTAGTTTTCTCATCTTACAGGAGCTGAATACAACTTTATATTTTTAGTCCCCTAGGGCTGGCTTCCTGTCAAGAAAATAAGCATTTTCTCTCGTCTGCAACTCTGTGGTCGCCAAAGACAAATAACTGCTCCATCATTGTGGGATACTGTTGTCATATTCTCGAGATTTTTAAGCGAGACAATTTGCCTTTTCTTTCTTATGAAAACAGTGATTTCAATTTGCCATTGACTAGTGCAGCACACCATGCAAAATGACATAATTTGTGAGCAGTGGAGAAAAAAATGTTCCTCAACTGCATATGGCTGTTGAATATAGTTGCAATAGATCTGTACTGCTCGAGAAACTGCATATTAACTTTTCCTGCATCATAACTTCCCCCCCACCCCTAATGGACTATGCTAACGCAAAAATCATCTCTAAATTTCTGAAGTCTGCCATAATATCTACTTATTCTTCCCCTTGGCATAGCTCTTATTCATTAGTTAAACCTGAGATACTGCATATGCATATAATTAAGTGTAATACCTAACAAAAGGTATATTATATGTGTTTATGTTTACCTCTGACAGAATGGTTAGCCTCAATTTGCTCTTTTTAAATTTGTTTTTTGCTAGTGAATAGAATGGATTTAATGAATATAAAATGAAACTAATGTATTGTGGTGAGCGAAACTATGTCTTGATGTCTCTTTATTCTTGGAACTGCTAGTAATGCTCTAACTGAAGTTGTGAGCTTTAATTAGACATAACAGAACTTTAAATGTTTCAACATATAGGATCCTTTGAGTTAAGATGCTTTAAAGTCCGTTAGCACATAGCGCTTTCTCTATAAATCTATAGTAAACAAACCAAATAGCAATGTATATTATGTTTCAGATTCCCAAAGCATTTGAAAATACTCACAGACCCTCACAACATTCCTGTAACTAACTGCATTACATTTTTATTCATCAAAACATTTAAGGGTGCTCTTCTATATGATTTCAATATGTTTGCTGAACAAGTCTACAAAGTCTTTACTGTATAACAGAGAAGGTAAATTAGTTCTTTCAAAGTTATGTCATGAGTGTGATACAGTGAGAAAGAGTTCTGACATCTCCTGAAGTCTCAATCTTTCCTTAGTTTCATATTCCTGTTTCACTATTTGATACATGAGAATATGAAGATAATTTTAGATTCAAGGTGACTTAAGGTATCATGGGCTTATTATGTCTGGAAGAAATGTTGTTGAAAATAATTTTACAAGAGAGTATTTCACGAGTAAAATACCCATGCCGAAAACCAGGGTTTTACTGATTTGGGAGCCAAAGAAATTTCATACAAGATGAAGTCTCCCGTTGAGTTTAATGAGCTTTGGATCAGAGCCTAAAATAGTTTGTTAAGCATGACTTCTGCAGGATAATAACAATTTAACTGAAAATATTTTTCTAGGTGTAAGCACTTTAAATGCCTTGAAAATGAATGTTTACTGCATGCTGAAGTACTTTGTATTATTTCAAGTTTTATACATACTCATAGTTTTACAATTATTACAATAGTAGAAACAAAGACATGGAAAAAGCATAACCGAATTGTTTCTAATTTCTTTTAAGAAAGAGAAAATGTTATGGTCCAACCTTAACGAATAATTTTATAGAATTTCTGTGAAATTGATAAATCTCATTTAATGTGCCTCTTCAATAAATGTCACTTTCCAGAGCTTAAATATATATCTTTTACTGTTTGTAATCTTGCAGTGTCAGATCCTACCCAACATGCTCGCAATTTCCCTAAGGGGTTGCTGCTGTACAGAAATACTATATATAAAGGGAAATTTCCAAATCGGCAAAAGGTAAAATGTGTAGCTCACATAGTTAAAGGCGTGATAAACCTGAGCTGTCATGTATTGATAACTGATGCCTGATAGCTTAATTTTATCTTATTGCTCTAGATCAAGGACAAAGTGAATGATATTATTAATAAAGCCCTAATACTGACTGAACATAGCAATACTAATTTTATGTAAAGTTTCTAACTAATGCAGGGTGCAATAAAAATGTCATGAAGATTAATGCTTGGTGAAATTATCTAATGCTAGATAATAATTTATCTTCCAAAGTTGGCTTCAAGATAGATTCAGACTGGCTTATTCCAGGTGAAAGTTTCTGTTCATTCCTGTTGTCTACAGAAAGAGTTTTCATTCTTCTTCCGTAATGCAGGTATGACATCAAAGATGACTACACTTTGCGCATTAAGAAGGCCATGAGTACAGATGAAGGAACTTACACATGTATTGCTGAGAATCGAGTTGGAAAAGTGGAAGCCTCTGCTACCCTCACTGTGCGAGGTGAGTGTTCCCATAGAGGGAGGGCTTGTGTCCTATATGGATAAACTGCTTTCGGATGGAATGGGCCACATCCTTACCTGGCATTGTTCAGGTTTCACATATCCTTTGCAACTGCGGGTGCTGTACTGATTTACGACAGAGGTGAAATCCTGTTGATATCTCAGGCAAAATTTTAACTGACTTCAATAGGACAGGATCTCCCTGCAGTTAAAGAGCTGTTCCAATGTTCCAGTGTTTTTTATTGAAGAACAGATGCATGTATATGTATAAGCAAGCACTACATAACCATGGGCATAGACTTTAATATGTGAGTTACCAGTTTAAGCTATTATTCATGTTCTTTTCTCTAGTAAGTATAAGGAGTACAGTAAGTAACTGTGTTTCTTGATGCCAAACATAGTGCAGATAGTTTTATTGTGTAATTATCTCTGCTATAATTAAACTCTCTACCATTATTCTTTATCTGAAAAATAAACCCTAGCCAAAGGAAAAAGATTGATTTTGTAAGTATTACAAGGTAAAGACTAACATATTGTCCCCTAAAATATTCTTGGTCTCTAGTATCCACTCAGTGTTTATGTGCTGCTGTTAGATGTGGTAAGGAGGTTTTAAGACCGGTAGAATAATGAGTTGCCAAAATGTCTTTTGTGACAGCAGATATAGACATGCTAAAGATTATGGGGAGAGAAAAAGTTTGTAGGCTAATATTTCCATATGAGTAAATAGAATATAATAGTTATTACTTCATTCCAAAAGATAAGAAGCAATTTGGCACAATGGATATCATGCAGACACTATTTCACAGTTTAGTGGTGCATGCTGACGGTTTTCAGTAGAGCTGTGAAAGGTTAATAAAAACATTTTTAGCTTTATCTGTTCTCCTCTTTTCATACACATTAAATCAAATGTTCAAAGTCTCAGTGGATTGCTTTATTAGAACGGGGGTCAACTGACCCAAGAGGCCAGCTTCCATTTCCATCCATTTAATGCATGGACACAGTTCAGTTTAATTTGCTGAATTCAAAGGGAAAAAAAAAAAAAGCACTGAGGGAGGGTAATCAGGCTACAACAGGGCAGAGGTAGAGAGCAGGGGGAAGTGAGGTCTCAGTAAATTCTCTCTCTCTCCTTTTTTTTTTTTTTTTTTTTTTTT